ACGCTCGGTACGTGCGCCTCGGTGCGCTCGGTTAGCCAGGGGCTTGGAAGATGACTACCCTGTACCTGCATCTAGGTGTGTTCGGTCACCGTCGTTCGTCTGGGGTTGTCCAAACTTCCCAAGCTCCAAAAAAAAAGCTTCCCTCCAAAGGCAAACTTATATTCACCCTAAAACCCAAGGCCAAATCGGCTCCAACAAGGCTCCCCAAAAGGCTTTCAGAATCCAAACAACGCTTCACGGAGGCTCCAAAAGAATCCCACGGAGGCTTCACAGAAAGGCTCCACAAAGATCTCCCCGCAAAGGCACGGTCACTCGGAGATGACCCTAAACATCATGAATCCCAAATCGGCTGCAACAAGGCACCCCGAGATGCGGTCACTTGGGAAGCTTGAGATGTTAAAAACAACGTATCAGGCAGGCTCCAACACGCCTAAACATATGATGTTGAAAGCCTTACAAAAACACACAAACTGCACACAAAAACCAATTGTGGCCTTGCAGTTTGGTTGTTCAAGCACCGCTTGCAACTCTTGTAATGCTTCTCAACCCCCTGTGCACAGCTAGTGCTGGCACCTCTCTTGAAGACGAGCCCGTAGCACGCATGAAACCAAGGGGTGCGACACATGTAGGGACGCACAGCCTAGTGGTGCTGTATGCCGAGCGAATTGTTGTAATCACCTTGCGTTCATTGGGGATTCCAAACACCTTGAGCGCGCCTGCCTCCCCCACCAATACGGGCTAAGCACGCGAGCCGGCAGTGAGGCCCTTCCGCGTGTCCTGCGGGCTGCCACGGAGGTCGACCCGCGTGCAACCATCTTGTCTGTGGACGCCAGTGGTGCCTACGACCACGTGTCCCGGCAGGCCATGCTGCATAAAACAACCACTGCGGCGCAGCGTCCAACGAGCAATTCTCCGAGTTCCCGGATCTCCGGCGTGCCTGCTCGAACCAAAATGCCCCCCCCAAAAAAAAAAATGCCCCCCCGGACTTTTGCGCCAGCATGCTGGTTCATCATGGTTCATCCGAAGTCTGTTATCGTAGGCCTAGGCGGCAGCTACTCGAGCTCACGGCGCCGGCAGGTGGCTTGGCGGCACGATGCGGCACGTTTTTTGTGCCCCTGGCTCAGCTCGGTCACAGTTGTCAGCTCCCGCCATCGGGAGTTCGAGCAGGGAGCAGGCGCTGTGCTGCGACGGTGATCAGGCCGGTCCAGCGGTGGAAAGTGGGTGCGCTGCGCCGCGGCGCGGGCTTTGGCTTTCGCCAGTCCACGGAGGAACCCGACAGCCTCGGCGCCTGCCGCCCACCTCCAGCCCGATGACGACCAGTTTGCAAACCCCGCGCGCTCGCGAGCTCGGGGCCCCGCCGCCGTCCCGAGCGTTCTGTCAGCGGCAGCTCGGACACGCCCAGCCCTTGTTAGGGACACGAAGGTCGTGTCGACCGCTGCCTGCGCACCTTGCCAAACTGGCAGGCCGTTGGCCAGGACCTCGATGCGGCGGCCGTCCGCCAGTGGCACCATGTCCCGGAGCATGACTTTGGTGGCCACGCGGGCCCCCGGCCTCGCGACAAACTCTGGCGGCTGCGCTCTCGAGCGCAGCGCCCCGCACACCTAGAACGCCAGCAGTGGGACACGCTGTGCGGTGGTCACCGAGGGCGTCGAGGGCGCCGCCACGGTGCCCCGCAGGTTAGGTCATACGGCTGTTGCTGGCTGCCAGGTAGGCCAAGGAACGCACCTAGAGCTTTGCCGTCCTCGAGCTCAAGGTGCGGGGTTAGTGCCCAGAGGCAGCCAACTTCGTCCGCATGCCGGCTGGTGCGGGGCACGGGCCGTCCCGCCCTCCCGTCAAGATCATTTTAGCCGTCACGCTCCAGTGGGCATCGCGACCGGCTACTCGCCAACCGCGGTGGGGCGTTGCGGCAGGGCCGTGCATTAACGAACACCTCCGCGTTTTGCTGGACGACCAACAAACTACCGAACCCTTTTCCAGCAGGCATCGGCCAAACGTCCCGCCCCCGGTTGTTGAAGCAAGCCCAACCAAGGGGTGCGCGCGCTGGTGATGAACGACGTTTTTCGCCGCCTCGTCAGTCGCACCCTGGCGCAACAATTCGCGGTGCCTTTCCCGTTCCAATACGAGCTCAGCACGCGGGCAGGCCCCGAGGCCCTGGTGCGTGCATTCCGGCTGCCACGGAATCGGACCCCTCTACGACCAGGGCAGACGACCACATCTCCCGGCCCAGGATGCTTGGCGGCTTACGCGATCATGCTGTGCTCTCGGGCTTGCTCCCTTTCGCCACTTTGTTCTATGCCCGCCGCAGCCGCTACCTCCATTAAATTACAATGCCTGCCGGCACGCTCACGAGGTGCCGCCAGGAGAGGCGGGGAATCAGGGGATCTGTTGCTGCCGGGGCTGTACGCCCACCTACACGCGCAGCTCCAGCCCGGGGAAGGGCTGTACGGGTTCCAACGGCATGCCCACTTGGCGAGGGGTGCAGGTGGCCGTCGACACTACGCTCGTCAGCCCGGTCCAATGCAACGGACACGCGCGCCCGGGGTGCGATGCTGTGCCGGGACTGGCGCGTTCCAGCAAAGCGGCCGCGCATAAGCGACGCATGTATCCCGAGCTCCGCCCCCAGGGATGAAGGTGGGCACCATTGCCCTTGGTGGTCGCAGTAGCCGAACAAAAACTGGAGGTGGGTACTGCAATGGAATTTCTTTCTGCACGAATCAGGATACGATTCGTCCGGAGTTTTGCCTGCAGCGTCCTATTCCGCACTCAGCGAGGTCAGATCCGGTCGAGGTCCAGGCCCGGGCTTGGCTCGTGCCATATCGGGCCAAGCCGAATCAAAGCTGTGCTGGTCACAGTTGTGTCAGGCCATTGTTCTGCCCACGATGCAACGATTGAATGTCTGACCTGCTCGAAGTTGTCTCCGTGGCGGCGGTGCCAAGATTCGTGACAACAGTGCACCCAAACTCTGGCATTTAAATTTGTTTGTTGTATCGCCTGTGGGTTGCCCGCGTGGTTTTTGAAACCAGAACTCATGCGTTCTCGCAAGTGCTCACAATCAAGAGACTTAATGTTGACATGTGGACAAACCTTCTTGCCAACATCATGTTGCGTGTTTGCATAGCATACGAGTTCTTTGGTCCATGAAAATGTGTTATCGGTTGTTAGGCCTTACAAGCTCAGGATGTTCAACGGTTAGCCTCATGTTGCAGCGGCGGTGGCCATGCCTTTGAAGCATCCCAACAAGAAGAAGTTGGATAAAACCACTTCGCGACCGCCAAAGAAAAAGGACTCGGCATCCAGACAACGGTCCGAGGAGGACCTTTGTGCCGTTAGTCTCGATGCATGCTGTGTGGGTCGTTGCAGTCAGAATCAACGCCTAGCTGCCTGGAAGGAAATTGACCCCAGGCGACCTTCCAGGAAATGTTCGACCCATGTGCTCCGATTTCAGATGTTATTGGGTGCTGCGACGGCTATGGTCATCTATGCAGCCTACCGGAAGCTCGCACTGCAGACGGGGTACGAAGTTGCGGGTATTTGAGGGTGTTCCGAGAGAGTCGGCATGTGTATCACTTTCAGGATGTTTCACCGTGGTGCCGTCAGGTGCATGCTTCTGAACATGCCTCGCTTTGAATCGTCAGTTCATTTTCAACGCTACGCGACCCGCCTCGGCCGGTACCTGCCGCCACTGCAGCGGCGAGGCAAGGTTGTCAGGACAGGCTTCGTTGGACTTCTTGGGTTTCGTACTGTTCACGGTTGAGGGTGTAGGGTGGAGGAGGTCGCTCGAGTCTCCTAGCGCGCCCCTGGTCCTGACGGATGCTGGTCGGCTCGGTGGGGATTAAGGTGGCAAGCCGTGGCGGGGGGAGGGATTCTAAAGAGGTGGGGTACTTCACAGACACGGCACACATGTGGCAAGGCTGTGGACGGGCGCGTTGGCTGCAGAACCTGCCGGACGACGGGTGCCCGCCTTCGAAGTCAGGACTGGCATTGCATCTGACAAGTTTGCGTGCATGTTGATCCAAGAAGTCGTGTGGGTCAGCCAGCTGCGTTGGGAGCAAAGTTGTTGACGGTTGTGCAGTTTTCCGACCCAGCAGAATTTTGGGACATTCCAAGTTTGCTAACGAGGGGTTCGCTCAAACAATTTCCTTGCGATGAGGTGATATGGCTTGAGACAGGCCCCCTTAAACACATTTGATGTCCATACGGTTGGTGGTTGTGAATGGGATATGTTTGGTTCCTGGTTTCGTTATGCTGACAGGTTCGGTTCCTTGGGCTGGGTTGTAGTTTTCCATGTTTTCGTTATTTGCATATCCAGGTTCGCTGTCCAAAATCCTGAACCGCACGCGCAATCGGTATCTCGAATCGTATCCGGGATCGCATCCGACATCGTCTCGAGTCGTGTCGACATATGCGCTTAAGAGTCTAGAGCGCATGTATATTACCATGCGTTCTCGATACGACTTTGAGAGACTGAGACGTTACGATTTCGATACAATCTCGATAGGATGCCCCTCCCCTCCCCCTAACCTTCAACATCTAACCCTTATCGAAATCACACCTTGAAACCTTATCCATATCCAAAACGCCTCCGAACCATATCCCAAGATCCATCTCCAAATTGCATCCCCAACGTGCCGAAAGCAAGTGATGTGCAAATCGTATCGCTTGTTACCGAAACGAATATGGTCACTTCTCAAAAATGTGGTCCCTTTTGGGGCCATTCTTATAAGGCGGCCCCCCTGATTTAGGGAAAAGGGACCATGATCTAGAGAACAGATCCCATCGAAAGTGCAGGAATAAGTCAAGGAACCCTGTGTTTGCAGGGGCTTGGGGTTTCATGAGCGTAATCGAGTAGGAAGCCGGCTCAAGATGTACGATCATGTTTAGGAAAGTTTAGGGTTGCAGTCCATAGAAGCGGCACATGAGCATCTTGGCAGCACAACCACCACAACCGATTTCCAAGCTCGACGGGCACAATTCTTGCTTTGCTCATATTCGCCGGCCGAATGGACGATGACCGCCAGTCTGCCACAGAATGGTTTCAGCACCTGCTCTTCCAGGTTCGGTCAGCGTTGGCCACGGAACTCTCGCTGCACCAAAGAGCATTCCCTCTTGCACTTGCTCAACTGGTCCTTCTGGCTGACCCGCCCTTGCTGTCAAGCAATATGTCAGCAGTGGCCGAAGAGTTTGGTTTCGATGGCCCAGAGAGGGACGAAAAACTGGGCGGCATCGTGAGCGTAGTGTTTTTCACGTGTGGGGCCATCTCCTCCCTCGCCATTGGACAGCTGGCCGATATCATGGATCGCACCACTTTGGTTTGCTTGTGTTTGCTCGTTGGGTCGACAGGCACGTTTGCCAGCTCGCAGGCGGGCGGATTTGTATCATTGCTTTTCGGTCGTGGTGCAGTGGGTTTTGCTGCTGGCGGCCTCATGCCGACGAGTTTCGCAATCATCGGAGATTTGTACTCGGCCGACGAGCGTCCGCATGCCATCGCTATGGTTGGAATCTTATCTGGCTTTGGTATATCCATCGGCCAAGCTTTGGCAGGATTTGTTGGTACTTCCGCAGGCTGGCGCGCGCCTTTCGCCATCGTCGGGGTGGCTGGGTGGTGTGTGGCCGTCCTCGTATTTTTTATTCAGAGGGAGCCACGCAGAACCAGTGAGCAACCCGCCCAGGAGAACACAACATGGCGCGCTGCGCTGTCACGACCGACGGTTGTTTGCAGCTGTTTGCAAAGCATTTTTGCTTGTGTACCGTGGTCAGTCGTGGGCACTTTTTTTACAGATTACCTGGCTGTCGATGCCGGCATGGGAGTTCCAGCTGCCACCACCGTTCTGTTTAGCATGGGCGTTGGGTGTGTTTCAGGCACCGTCACCGGAGGCAAGTTAGGCCAGTATCTGTACAAGAAAGATAAAAGATGTCAAGCTTGGCTGATGGGGTTCACAGTGTGGGCAGGCATGCTGCCTTTCTTGCTGTTGTTTGTCGCTGGTTCCTCCGGCCAGCCCTTGATGTACCATGGCCTTTCATTTCTAGGAGTTTTCCTGGCATCCGTGTCGCCCGTGAACTTGAAGGCCATCCTCCTCAATGCAGTCCCAACCCAAGCGCGAGGACGAGTTTTCGGGGTATTCAACATCATGGACGACCTGGGCAGGGGGCTGGGGCCTGCGTTGGTTGCCAGTTGGGTCCGGCAACTGGGCCGCAGAAACTCCTTCATGCTTGGCATGCTGTTTTGGCTCCCTTCCGGTCTGTTCTGCTTGCTCCTGACGCGCACCATCCCACAAGATGACCTATCCGACAAGCGCGATGAGGAAGGTTGCAGCATGCTACCCTGACCTGGTGCAGATTGGAACTCGCACGGCGACGGCCCCCTTTTCCACCGCTGGAACTTCCATCTGGTCTGGCCTTGCGAGACGAAGTGGAGTTTCACCCCCCAGGTCGGTTCTGAACGAATCCGGAAGAACCGGCAGAGCAGCGGCTCGAACCGCCCTAACTCCCAACCTGCATGCCAAAACCATCAAGTTGGAATTCGTTTCGGGGGCTGTGAAATGCAGGCTTCTGAACCTTTGGCCAAACTCAAATCCCCGCTAGCGCCAACACAAGATTTGGTGACACCACGCCGGCAAAATGGCTTTCGCTTTGACACTCTTACATTCCACGTCCGCAATAGCGCTTGCCCACAATGAAGTCGGGTTCTCGGTGTTGCAGCGCTTAGGCTTCGGCTCTTTCGGGTGCACATTTTGTCCTAAAGGCTGGCTGCTGCATTTACGTGCTGCTGAAGCCCTAGCGCCCTGCCAAACCCAGACTACCTCAAAGCCCTTTGGAGTCGCAAAAAGGACCCCTACTTGCAGCGTGAAACTGCTTAGAGGGTTGGGGGAGCTCTGAGCACATCAGGGCAGCGGCACCTCCTCCGCCACTGCCTGTGCCATTGGAGCAGGCATGGTTGGGGAAGGGTGGGGCGTTTGAGTGCTTGAGTGTTGTGGCATGCGCTTTTCGGGCGCAGTGACATATAGAATGCTCGGAAGGGAATGGCTTATTCTTATTATTTCTTATTTAGATTTTATGTAAAATTCAACCGGAATACTTGTTGAAGATGTCATTTTTTATTAAGGTTCCAAGGGTAATGTGCAGACGTAGACACGGGAGGCCATCGCGGGCTGCACCATGGAGCGGGGCGTCGCGGCCGCATCCACGAGCGCATGGTTTGGAACCGGTTTCGTAGGTTCAGCTCCAGGTAACATCCGGAACTTGGGATGTTTCCCCCTGATACTAACAGCTCCGTAATAGCGATTGTAATCGGGGGGTACAAGAATCCCGATTAAGGACCGTTAGTACAAGGGGACCCCGGCGAACCCATGGACACTCCTGTGAAACTTGTTGTGGCGCTTGGACGATCTCACGAGGGACGGGGTGGATCACTGCTCGGAGTTCGGGGGGGGGGGGGGGTTCTAACGCGTTGCGCTCTTGATACGCTTGGCCTGCAAGTCAAGAGGTGACATTCTCTGCGCTTCTCCTCCTCCTCCTCCCACTTCTTCTCCTCCTTCTTGTGCTGCTGCCGTTTCTTCTTCTTCTTCTTCTTCTTCTTCTTCTGCTGTATTCCTGAGAGGCCCGGCAAAACCCGGTGGCGTTGGCCATTGTCCGGTCTGTTGCGGGTCTTCTTAGGTTCCATTTGCTCTCGAGTGAAACTTGTGCTACATTGTCCCCCTGGCATAGAGGCGCCTTGCACTGTCGAGCTGTGTGGTGATCTCCGACTCCATGTGATCAATGCGCGTTCGTACGTCAACGGCTGTTCTAACTTCGTCCACCTTTCATGCTCTGTGTGATGAGCGGGGGCGCCTTCCACGCATGCATCTCGTGCGTGAATAGCATGCCCAAGACAGTCCCTTACAGCTCATGCTGAGCGCTTGAGCAAGGACCCCCCAATTGTGAATGCAAGTCATTGTAAATCCTTACAATTTACAACTCGGTAGATGGATTCCTGAGAGCTTGGAGATTGGGAGCTGGACTTCATTTCGTGACCCGCGCAAGTGAGCTTTGCGGTCTTGATGCTCAGGTTATGCAAACAGAAGCTGGGCCGCACTTATGCCAACTTCCTTCCTGCAAAAGTTCGCCAGTAGGGTCAGGAGAGTGTGGGAAGAGATCCATTGTCCGCCAAATAGCCGCAGCTGTCTCCAAGGATCCCAAGGGTTTGGCCCCGAACCTTTCCGTGTCTCACGTACTCAGAAAACATCATCGGCATCGAGCAGTTCGGAATAGCCACGCCCCGAGCAACTTGGCGATGACATGACATGTACTTGTGCATAAGTTGAACCTATATCCCGTGGTACATTGCAAAGGTCGGGGGGGGGATCTTTCTTAAAGACGAATGTTATCTAAGTTCTAGAGATATGTGGGGTATGGTTTCTAGTCCAGCTAGAGGGGTCTAGACGTCAGGGCTTTGACGGGGCGACGATGGGATGACGACGGCGCGACGACGGGGTGGCGACGGGGCGACGACGGTGTGACGACGGCGCGACGACAGGGTGCGATGGCGCGACGACGGGGTGACGACGGGGGGACGACGGCTGTCGCGCCGTCGTCGCGCCGTCGTCGCGCCGTCGTCGCGCCGTCGTCCCGCCGTCGTCCCGCCGTCGTCCCGCCGTCATAAGGCCTAGTTTGGGCTTAAACTAGGCCTTATGACGGGAAATAAGGCCTAGTTCGGGCTAAATAAGGCCTAGTTTGGGCTTAAACTAGGCCTTATGACGGCGTGACGACGGCGCGACGACGGCTCGACGAGTCGTCCCCCCGTCGTCCCCCCGTCGTCCCCCCGTCGTCCCCCCGGCGTCCTGCCGTCGTCCTGCCGTCATCCTGCCGTCGTCCCTCCGTCGTCTTGTGCCCTCGTCCCTCCGTCGTCCCACCATCGTCCCTCCGTCGTCCCACCGTCGTCCCTCCGTCGTTTTGCCGTCGTCCTACTTTTGTTGTGTGGACTAACACATATCTTTAGAACTTAGATAAGACGAATGCCTAGCTTTTGCCCCAGATTTGCCAAATTTGATTTGTTCTGTCGTCTCGATCTTGTCATACTATTCGCAAGCTGGAAACGTTAAACTGCAAGACCTCCTGGATGCCGGAAGATAGTCTCTCAATGAACCCAGAAGGCCCTCGAAGCCAACCCAAACGAGCTAAACCCTAAACCCTAAACCCTAAACCCTAAACCCTAAACCCTAAACCCTAAACCCTAAACCCTAAACCCTATAAGGATTGCATGAACAGCTGCCAGCGCCAGCGCGGCGTTTGCAACTGCTGGAGCTGGCCCGGTCGCCAAGAGAAGGGGGCTTCTGTTTCTTTCATTCGCTCTTTTTCGTGGGCCTTTTATTATCATTATCACTATCGCTATCGCTATCACTATCACTATCACAATCACTATCACCATCATTATCATTATTATCATTATTATCATTATTATCATTATTATCATTATTATCATTATTATCATTATTATCATTATTATCATTATTATCATTATTATCATTATTATCATTATTATCATTATCATCATTATTATCATTATTATCATTATCATTATTATTCTTATTATTATCATTATTATCATTAGTATCATTATTATCATTCTCATTATTATCATGATTATCATTATTATCATTATAATTATCATTATAATTATCATTCTTCTTCTTCTTATTATCACTATCATTATCATTATTATCATTATGATTATGATTATTATTGTTATTATTATTATGACTATTATTTCAGGGCTTAGGTTCAAACCTAGCCGAGTTTTACTTGAAGGCGCTTCGGGAAGGTGCCCGAAGCTTGAGAGCGACCTCAGAGAGTTCCATTCAGCTGGTTGGAGCTTGGGGGCTGGGACACGGAAATCGCCACTGAGCCAGCACTGAAGCGGTCCATCAGGAAAGACGACGGCTTCTGCAGAACCGGCTCCGCCATCCGATGCACATACATGGCCAGCGAGGTGCCGTGTAGGGTCTTCACAGCGTTGTTTGCAAATGCCATGCTGTTCGATGGTAATTTTCTGAAGTCCATCCTGGGGCGTTTATCTGACCCTGCCTACTGAGCAGCAGGCTCTGGACCCACGCCAATCCAAAAGTCAAGAACACACTAAGCCTTGGCCCTCAAGCCTATGTTGAACCTTGGGAGTGCGGCTGACGAAGGGAGCGGGCGGGCTCATTTCCGGCGACTTTCCAGATTCCAGGTCGTGAGCTCTAGCTTCAGGGGCGCAGACAGCGAATTCGGTCCCTGAAGGGAGGCATGGCATGGGCTTGAAATTTAATCAAAGCAAACCGGGCGGCTCGAAGGGTTCTCGCATCCTTGGTGGGCCAGGATCGGGCTTTGTGAATCCAACCCAAACACCCATAGCTGTGGCGAAAGCAACTCAGACCCCTTAGACTCCTAAGAGCATTCCCCCCCCCCCACCCCCCTCCTTTCCTAAACCCTAAACCCTTGTGAACTTGGTTCGGCGTAGCCGGGTGTGTGGGTGATGGTTGATTGTACTTCTGGGTTCTACACAAGTAAACAGTCCTTAGGCCCGCTCAGAAGCAATCCAGTTTGTCCGTACTTGGGCTCCAATATGTCTCTGACCTTTTCCCCGTAAACGCTTGCGAAACGGGTGGAAAAAAACCAACCAGAAACCGTTCAGGACGACGATCGCTGGATGTACGGCTCATGTCCTCTGCAGGGTCAGGCTCGGCAGCAGACAAACCGGGAGCCTGGCAGGGCTTCGGAGTTCTTCATATTCAAAAGAGTGTCGTTGGGAGGCTGAAGAATACTGGTATTGCTTCCGATGCCCATCCATCTCAGCGGGGCCGGAAAATTTTCAAGATGTCACAAGAACTCAACTAGTTTTGGGGATTTCCGCGTGGAGTTTGGATTTGCATAGCAGCTTAGGATTTGCAAGAATGAGGCTTTAGGATGTTCAGCGGCGTTTGCAACGGCTGGGTTGCTTTTCGCGGCAGCGCGGAACTTGTTTGGCCGACGTTCTAGGAGGCCTTCTGGGGCTTGGGCCATGGAGCCTTCGTGCCAGAATTGGGGTTCGGAGCCATGCTGCACTTTGCCTTGGACAAGATCCCCAGCTCTGTGGCAAGGAGGAATCGTGGATCAGCGTATCTTGGGATCGCGTTGTAGCCCCGAGGCCCGTGCCCTTGTTTGAAAAGGGCCCCTGTGAAAGTCTAGGATCTAGAACTGGGCTGTGGTTTGGGATACTTTTTTAAATCACTTCTTTCCTTCTACGGGAAGCTATTTAGAAATAAGTTTCAAAGGGTTGAAAGGCACAACTCAGAGAATAGCGAGAGGAGATTGCTACATCCAATGTCTGGTCCCGCTGCCAGCAGGCAGAGGCCAACCCGCTCCAAGGGGAGCCGCAGCCTGCCAAGGAAGATCGCCGAGGCTCCTCACAATGCCTCACTTAAAAATGTATTAAAAACTGAAAACAATATAATAAATAAATAAATAAATAAATATATATATATATATATATATGTATAATTTTCACCAGAAAGGAAGAACAGGACTGTGCCCAAGGCTTTCAGCCTGTCGCAAAGTTCTGGTTACCTCCAAACCTTTTCAGGCCCGAATGCCCAGCCAAAAAAGCTTGTGGTCTGGGAGGGGGGAGGGGCGAGGCAGGCAGTGGTGAGGAGTCCTGCTGCAAAAAGGGGGAGGGGGGGGGGGGCAATCACCGTGCTGTTCGCAGCTGCTGCCTGAGGCGTGTTAGTTCCACTTGCTTCTTAGCTGGAGGGCTTGGAGTCTTCACGGTGCGCCCAGCACAGCTGCAACCCTCTTTCTGGTCTTGAAACAAGTGCTGGGCCGATAATGCAAACCGCACGAGTACCCCTGTTCAGGCATCTTGAGCTTGGGCATCCCCGAGTCCGTGGCGAGGCCGACAGTCGTCGCCGGTGTCGAAGGGCCCGCCCTGGGCAGTGCTGCGGAGGCTCAGACGGTTTTTAGACAATATATAAATGTAGATATATTATATATTGTAAAAGCCTGTTAAATGTCTTAATTTTATTAAGCTTGGGGATCAGGACCTTTTTTAAGGGATGAGTGGACGGACGTGGTCTTTTGAGTCCATTCGGTCCATTCAGAGCCGGCTTGACACCGGTTTTGATCCAAATCTCACTTGTATCAGAGCCGCAGCGTCGTCGTCAAGGTTGCATTGCGTACAACGCCTTCCTGCTGCGTAGAGTGGCCAAGGCTGAAAGGTTCTAGCCTGACGCACCCGTATCGGCGAGACGCCTCGTGCCCAAGCGTTTAGGCCATCGAACAAGCATCAAAATCGTAAGTCGATGACCGGTCCGGACAGTCCTGAGAAATATTCCTGATTCTGAGGCCGTGTCACAGAACGCCGCCGCGAACGCCGCTGCGGAGCTCCGCGCAGCACCTGTGGCGACGGCTCCCGTCGTCGCCGTCGACACGGCAGCCACGGCAGCCGTGGCAGCTGCGGCAGCCACAGCAGCGCCAGCCCAAGGCTGGAAAGCAAAGTGCACAAAGCTTATGCTGAATGTTGCTGAAATTGTCTTGCCTTCAGCTTGCGGTTTGCGTAGCTAGGCTCGCAGTGCAACCCGTGATTCCAAACTTGGGTCTTGCATGGTGGCGTATGGTCCTTCTATTGGCTGATGCCCAGGCAGGAAGTTGCACATGGACAGCTGTGCTGCACGTGCGGCTTTAGATGGCTAAGTATACGTAGCCTTGTTACTCTGCGAGAGTCTATAAACCCCACATGCTGAGCATGTGAGCTTCCGGAAGAAAAGTCCGAAAGCCTGAGCTGCCTGAACCCGAGCCAAACGAAGCAGAAGCAGAGGGGGACACATCAAAAAGGGTGGATCCCCTGCAGGTTTTCTGCCGCTGGCCACAGAGGCCACAAAGGCCACGGAGCCCGCGCCCGCGCCCATAACTGCTGGGACTTCTCCGGCTACCTGCCTTTTGCTTTGCGGTGCGGTGGTGGGGGGCCAATGAGGGTGGGGGGTGGTGGGGGGGGGGTGTTCACCCCCGCTCCTAGACTTTAAGAAATGTGTCATGTTTTTTCATCAAATTCGGGCGCTGTGGAGACATGAACAGTTGCAGTTTTCTTTGAAATCGGTGTGACATCGTCGTCTATCGACAGACGCAGAGCCCTTTTCCAAAACCGTCATAAAATTGTTTTGTCCGGTTCATATGGGTTTGTAGTTCCATACTGATTTTTTGATTTCCTGCATGTTTTTTTCGATGGATCTTTGGGAGTAAGACTTTGAGTGATGTATTGGTGCAATGCGGACTTACACCATTGGATTGTGCAGCTTGCATCGCCCAGCTTGCCAGTGCCGTCGTAGCATCTGCAGTTGCCTCCCACCCCGCATCCCCCACCCACCCACACAGCCACACAAAAACAAAAGACAGTCCTTGGCGCAGAGGTTCTGATGATCACGCATAAGCGTGCCAGCTACTTACAGCGGTCCCTTGGTTTCCGGTGGTCGTCAGTGTCAGGTTTTTCCGTGATAAGAGGCTCCGAGGAAGAGGCGTCATTCAGGCTTGAAAGAGGCCTTGTGTTGTCAGGGAAAGGTTGGATGATGCGCTGCGAGTTGGACATGTAGGCGCACACCCTGGTGCTGAACACATTGCACCTCACCTGGCTTGTCCGAGTGTGAGCGATTAAACCCTAAACCCTGCCTAAACCCTAAACCCTAAACCCTAAACCCTAGTAGCCATTTTGGCTCAAGGTACTCCACAAACCTTGAGGCAATAGCGCACGTAGTTTTGTATCTGCAAACAACCATTTCGCAACCCGCGACCAGTGCAGATACGGAGCCCTTGAGCCAAGATGGAAACGGTACAGGCTCTTCATCGGATTATGGACAAGGCATGCAAGCCGGCGCTGGTGACAGCGCATCTACTCAGCATCAAGAACGACCTCAAACTCCACAGGACGGTGGAGAGGTCGGGGCTGGACGACAAGGAGATCGAGATGACTCTCCTCGACATGAACATCCCCCTGATTTATGGCGTGAGCCAATGTATAATGGATCGGGACGAGCTTGTGGATCTGGAGACCTACGCCGCGAAAGAGGAGTTCAGCGAAACGACCTTGGAGGCGTACCAGATGAGACAGTTCAAGCAGGGGATACCGGGGAGACATCGAGCTGCGGCCGTTTTGCTATACTCTGGCAATTTCTGGTCGACGCTGTACAGCTCACGCGATCGGTCCATGCACCCACAATTGACTTCCACGGAAGGGTGGGAGAAGATTGGCAACCTTCTGGAGGACACCTGGCCGATTGTGCTAGCCCTCATGAAGACTGTGCCATCTTCGAAGAACCGTACGGGCGGCAGGATCCTCTTCGGACTGACTGCCAGAGCGTGGGAGGAGCTGAAGGACCTTGGGCGGATAGCCCAGGTCGGATTCTCGGATTCATCGGAAGAGTCGGGCGAAACACCGTCGTGGCACAGCTCATACGGGACAGTGTCCATGCCGGCGCATCCCTTCTATGGAGCACGCTGCGATGCCGAAGTGTTGAAGCCGCTCGAGTTCTGGAAGGACTCTTTCCGAGTGAAGACGACGCCGGAGGTGAGGATGGCAGCGACAGTCGAGTTCGACACAGTGGACTAAACAGAGCCGTGCAACCACGGGCGGAAGAAGTATTGCACTCCTTCTTCACGTCCACTGCGTGGTTTGCTGAGGCAAGTTTTGACGTCTCACTCTTTTTCCTCGAAATCGCAGCTTTCAAATCCACCGGCTTCATTCATTTTTGTTACATCAGTGCTGCCCTATTATCGATTGGTTCGTATTTCAGCACAGGCATTCCACAGCCTAGCATGCTTTTCCAAGTCCTCAGACGCCTGATCTGGGATATTGGGTCATTTACATCACATGTGCTCACCCAGTGGGACATTGCATTTCGCCTGTCGAGACGATCGCAGGTTGGAGAATTGATGGCAGTCCGTGAAGGCGGAATTTGCCATTACTGTCTTCCGACAGGTTTTCCAACCGCCCCGTACTGTGAGGACGATCGCTATGTACAGGCGCGAGTTTTTGCTCACCGGTGCACTGGATGCACCCTCCGCCATTTTGTCGCGGGAGATAGGCCTATGTACACGGTTGAGAGGTACCACCACAGACTTCTGCATCGCGCACAACACGTGGTGTGTTCTGATCGCGAGAAGTCCAAAGGGATGTTAGCAAACATCAACCTCACACATTCAGCCATAGTAGAAGAGCCGTCTCTAGACAAGCAGTACAGCTACCAGACATACTTGGCACATGCTGTACGGGCGGAGCTTTTGACCCTGGGGGGGGACATTCAGTTCCTCCCCAATCGCCATTTTGGCACCCAGACCGGTGTTCGTGTCACCGGACCGCAAAGTGGGCCCAGTGCTGATGCGTCAGCACCGTCTGCGACTGTTCCAACGGCAGACGAACAAAGACCATCTGGGAGCTCCAACCCAGATGGTGCGTCCAGGTTCATTGAACCAGGGACCCCACTAATCCCTTACACGACTGCTGATGCTGGAAAACCCATGGAGGGAGTCCAGATCATCACAGATTGGGAAAAGGTAGACCTACGCAAAGACATGGGTCGTAAGATGGAGGCACTCGCTGTCCTCGAGCATGAGGCAAAATCCTGCATCGTTGACGACGATGTTTTGGAACAGCTGCAAGTGACAGCCAAAGCGAGGATCGCCATGCCAGGTGTCACAGACAAAGACATCACGGCAATTCATGTCGCATGCAACTCCCACTCGAATGCTATCGCCGGAATAGGGAACCGGCATTATGCAGAGAAATTTGCCGAGGTAGAATATGACGGTATTGCGTTCAAGAACCAAATAGGCAATCCATGGGAGTTAATCCGCAGAGCTGTCCATGCGGTAGTCGACAAAGTTCTCCCTGCCATCCTCGAGATTGATGAAGAGACCATTCGGAGGCAGGACACAGAACTAATGGAGATACCGCAAAGCGAGATCGTCTCGGAGTTGCATGGGAAATCCCTATTCCCCATGCACAAGTCCATTGACGAAATCGCCCCAAGCAGCTTCACGGAGCAAATGAAGAAAGACAATTTCGAGGCAGCCTCTGGCACCGAATTGACGAAGCTTCCGCCTACCAAGGCGTTTGTGAAGCCTAATGAAGCTTTAGGGAAGATCAAGCCTAGACTGATCCAACACACAGGCCCACAAGGCACTGCTGCCGCGGCCTTGATGAATAAGACAGTCGAGCAGATGATCTTCCGGTTACCTTACTTTGTCCAGCGCAGCATCAAGGGCACCGACAACACTGGTGTCTGCGAGCGTGTCCGACTCTTTTACAACGAGTATAAATCGGGCGGCTTTGCATCGACGGATTTCGGGAGTTTCGACTCTTCGATCACTGACAAGTGCACCGTCGACAGAAGCAAGCCAGGACTTAGAAGGATAATCGAGGAAGCTATCATGAAGGCTGTTACAAATAAATTTCCAGAGGCTTTTGACTTCAAGAATGTTTCGAAAACAAGGTGGAAAAAGAAGGACAAGATTTTGTTCGACACCTTAACATTGTTCACAGAGGTCCTCATTAGGTACTCTGGAGACGGGTTGACATCAGTTGGCAATTACGCCATCAATTGGTTTGTCGACCGCTCCATTGATTTTGTGCTTGAGAGGATTTTCACTATGTGGGATATGCGTGTCTACACCTTGAAAGAGATCATTCAATTCCTGACACACATGATAGATGACCCTGAGTTCATCAACCAAGTCCTTGAAGGAGTCAAGAAGAAAGCGACACGCCTCGCGGAGACCATCATACGCGTTTCGAAAGGTCTTCATGTCACGAAGGAAGATTCAGAGTTCCTGAACGGGGAGGGGGACGACAGACTCAAAGGATTTCGTTGGGCTTTCATCCAGAAACTTGAGACGAAAGGCAAGAAAGGAAAAGACGCCCGACAAGTCCTCGGAGTGATGACGGCAGTCATGTACACTGCCGCCGGCATGAGTTTGGAACCTCAGGACCGCGCAGGCCGGGTTAGTGCTGAGAAACTTATTGACAAGTCACAGCGCATCGAATTCATCAGCCGGATATTCGTCCCACTCAATGACGGAAAAGCGATGAGGAGTTTTCCAAAGCTCCGAAAAACCTTCGCGGCCGCCACCATCACCTTCAATGTAAACGACCCATTCTTAACCGCAGCAGCGACGAAAATGCTCTCCATCATGATGATGTGTGAGCAATGCCCGTTGCAGTTCCCATTCTACTCGCTGATTTACCGGTACTACAGAGGCAGAATCACTGACGAGACGATTATAACCGGTAAACGCAAGTATGAGTGGTGGGAGCTCAAGCTGATGCACCTCATCACTGACAACGGGCTGCAGAACAGCATGTCAGCAATCTACGCCCACCTCATGAACCGGGCTTACGGGTATGTGTCCCCAGAAATTGCTGATGGAATGCTTGATGCAGTCGCAGCTGAGACGCGATTGGCCAAGAATGACTTGGTCTGCCTGATAGACGCTCTAAATGGAGCAAAAGGAGACGATCTAGGATCCGTCCAAGACCTGGTGCAGAGGTACGTGGCAATTTTGCCACCTGTCTGATTTCAGACCCTGCACACATGAGGCAAAGGACGGGGAGATTGTAGTCAAGGTGATGCCAACACCTTGACGGAGGGTCCAGAGCATGGTACCGAGCCCCATGCTTTCCGCCTGTGACCAACTAACAGTGTAGTACCGCAACCTGCGTGCGGGAATTCCAGAACCGCGCTATACTGGAACTGGGCTGACCTTCTGATGAGCGACGGCCCCGGTTTGCCACCGGATAGCGCGCGAAAGCCCACCTGTCCGAAGGGAAGCGGATCCCGAGGGTGGAGTCATGGTGGTAGGCCCCTTGAGCAAGGGCTGAGTCCACCGGCAGGTAAAGCCAGGCTCCTAACGCAGAGACAGGCGAGATTACGCCCAGCGGTGGTGTGGCACCCACCGTTGACCTCCCGGAAATGAGCTGCGCCACTCTAGCCTGCCCCTCCACGTCTGACGTGTATGCTGAGGGGTGGCGGAGGATTCACAAGCATTCTGCCCGATAATGCCCCTTGTCTTTGTGACATGGCCATCCCCTGGCCGGCGCGAATGGAAGTGTCAGCACGAGCCCCTGCACTCCTGAATTCGCAGCCGACATGACCTGAAGTCCGATCGGATCGCATGAGGAGCGGGCCCAACCCTAGAGACCCGTACAGGGGCCCCTGCATTCGCTGTCAGCAAGGCCGGAGGTCCGATCGGATTGCACCACCGGAGCTGGTCCACAGCTGTATCACAGTGTTAGGAGCGATGTCGGGTGGGTTGTTGCGAATTCTTGGTGGTGACAGACCAGCGCTCCGGGTGTATAGCCCTCCATGTCGTTCATCGCAGCTCTGAGCGCCACTCATAGTCAACAAGGCCTGAGGTCTGTTCGGATTGCACCACCGGAGCGGGTCCACGGCTGTGTCACAGTGTTAGGAGCGATGTCGGGTGGGTTGTTGCGAGTTCTTGGGGGTGACAGACCAGCGCTCCGGATACCTAACCCCCCATGTCGTTCATCGCGGCTTTGAACACAATTGTACAGCCAGTATGAAGCCAGCCAGCAGTCGGCTGAGACGACCTGAGGCCTGTTGGAGCACGTGAGGGTCCGCTGTGATTTCAGTGTTAGGAGTGATGTTGGGTGGTTTGTTGCTGGCTCTTGGAAGTCGCATGATCGTGCTCCGGCCGTAGGCGTCTGTTAATGACACAGACCTTCGCATGAAGGGGACCCCTCCAGGGTCCGCAACCTTTTGGGATGCGCTCCAACCAGCGTGTCCACTCCCGGAGACCTCGACTTAACCCTGCGGAGCGGGTGCTTGTGTGCGCGCAGTGCGGGTGGCGAAACCCTAAACCCTAAACCCTAAACCCTAAACCCTAAACCCTAAACCCTAAACCCTAAACCCTAAACCCTAAACCAGTCCCTGCAACGTGGCCAGAGTGTCAGCTAGGCGGGTGGCAAAAAAAAACCCTAAACCCTAAACCCTAAACCCTAAACCCTAAACCCTAAACCCTAAACCCTAAACCCTAAACCCTAAACCCTAACCCTAACACCTAAACCCTAACCCTTCAACCCTCAACCCTCAACCTCAACCCTCAACCCTCAACCCTCAACCCTCAACCCTCAACCCTAAACCCTAAACCCTAAACCCTAAACCCCCTAAACCCTAAACCCTAAACCCTAAACCCTAAACCCTAATCCCTAATCCCTAAACCCTAAACCCTAAACCTCGCTCCCTCAGGTCCCTGGCCTCCTTGTTTCGGCATCGCACGGATGCCGCGAGGTTTCCGGCCATCGCCTCGCAGGACCCTTGGGTTGACTGCTGGTTGGGATGTTCCCCCTTCTACTAACAGTCCTTAACAGGGATTCTAGTACCCCCCGATTGTAGTCCCTATAAAAGGACTGACATGCTAGTATAAGGCGGAACATCCCAAGGTGCTGGCTTGTCGTGATGAAGCACCAGCGTTCGCAAAAATGGAGTGTCTCAATGTTGCTGTTAATCTTTCAAGGAATGTGCCTATGCACAAGGCAACAGCGGATACAGTGGCAACAGCCAAAGCATCGATAATGTAATGTTCTTTATCTCGGACCACACGCGGTAACATGTCCCGACGGTGTCGGGCACCAACAAGGCAGGTCTGGAGGAGCTTCCCTTTCAACTTAAACAACCCAACCTTCAGCCCCTGCAAGAGGAAGGGCATCCATCTGCATCTCCCCAAGTATCCATCTATGTCTTCCCCAGTAGGCAATTTCTTCACTTGCTTCGCCCTCAGTGATCTCTATGACAGAATCCTTGAGGTGACACGCAATCTTCTGATCTAACTGGGCATCCTATTCAAAGCCATCAAACTTCTGCTAGGGTGTTCACAAAATCGGGGCCACGAGCGACGCGTTTGGCTTCGCAAGCGTTGCGTGTTCAGGAATAAGGAGAAGCATAATGAGCATCAGCTGCCGGGCACGGCTCGCACCAAAAACTTCAAGCCCTTTAGAATCTTTGAGGCACTACCACTTATCCTAGAACAAGCCCCCTGAGCCTAGACTCTTGCGGTTCTGCGTGGGAAATGGTTTGTGGAGACCGCTGTTCCTGATGCCAAAGGACGGCGAGGACGCAGAGGTCCTAAAGACCCTGCAGACCTTCTTGAAATCAGGACAACTGTTGCTCTGACGTTTCCATGGTTTACGTGCTAATTAGGGGCTAAAAAAACGGGGTCGGAATAATTACGCATCATACTTCCTTCTAGTCCCTTTATAATTATACTACAATAACCCGCCCAAAACCCTGCTCTAATTTATTAAGGCCCCTATAGTAGGCCTTCGAGTCGAAACGACTTGCGACTGACTGTTGTCGGGGTGCGCTTCAGAGTGGAGCTTCGGGTTTTCTGCCCAGCGTTCAAGAGATCGTGGCCTGGGCTACCTCAAAGGGTTTAGGGTTTAGGGTTTAGGGTTTAGGGTTTAGGGTTTAGGGTTTAGGGTTTAGGGTTTAGGGTTTAGGGCTTCTGATAGTGGGCGGCGCTGCCACCGGCTCGCGCTGCACATCTTGAGTTGAGAATCCAGAAAACGTACAACCTCAAAGCCATCAGCGAGGCTTGCAAATTTGTTTTGCACCCTACCCGTGGTAGGGAAACGCCCTAGTGCTCTCAAAAAGGTTCCGGCACTTGCAATTTCAGCCCAAGACGCTTCTTGGCAGCGCACTGGGGCATTTGGAGTTGGGGCTCAGAAGGGGCTGCTTCCGTAAGTGCTGTGCTCCAAGCTCCGAAGCAATCGGAACTTGTTCACAGACGCAGTTCCGGGGTCCATACAATCCAGAACCTCAAAGCGTCCAGATGGCCAGGCCCGAGGCAGAGGTTTCGGGCTCGGGGGATTCCGGTTTGCCTGGCTTTTTGATGCACACAGCCAGGGCACCACAGCGTACGGTCACAAAGCATGGGGCTTGAATCATAAGATGGACTGAGTTAGGGTCCTGGGTTTAATCCCGCAGGGTCCACGCGTTTTCGTCACCGGGGCCCTCGTTTTACCGATAATCCTTCAAGCTTCATTTTGCCTGTGCCCGTGCCTTGCTGTAGCGGCTGAACACTTCCGCCTTGACAGTTGTGACATTGGCCCGATGCAGCAAGACCATGTCGGGTAAGGCATGGGCATGGTAAACCTGTTCTGGGGATGTGAAGCGCATTGATGTGCACGTTCGGCTCACGAGGTTTCTCCCCACCGGGTATGAGCGGCTTGCGCAGCACTATGGCTGGGCACTGGGGCAGATATTCGATGCGTTCGGCTGCTCAGCTCTGCTTGGCCTAGTGGGGCGAAAGTGCGATGGCAAAAGCAGGAGCTTCAACAACTGCAACGAACCTAGGATACGAGCAAGTCATCATCCTGGAGGAGGACCTTGTGCCTTGCTTTCCTAAACAGATCTTCCTGCTACTCCGGAGCAGCGCCCGGTCACCATGCCTTGGTACTATAGCTCACAGTATCAACACCAAAACCACGTATCATTGTTGGGTCCGTGAGCTCAGGCTCAGGCAGAGGCGCAGCAAAGTGATCGGGTGCTAGCAGTAGATTTCACAGCGTGCGCTCAACTTAGCGCATCTTCAATCGTCGGATGCGCGGCTCAAGCTGTGAAAGGTGTTGCGAGTTTGGCGTGGATGCGCTACGCTAGTTGGACATCTCATGGGCCAATGGAGACAAGGATTCAGCAAATTAAGCTGGCCCACACCACATGCTGACAGCGATACGTGCCGTTAGCAGCGTCGGCTTACATCGATTCCACGCAATTCATACGAATCACAGCTTTGATTTACCGATGTTGAGTGGCGGGGAGGGGAATGCCGAAATTTCACATCAAGGTTGTCATGCAAGCATCAAGATGTGTGCCGCACGAAGTGTTCGAAGCAAGAAGCACTGTAGGCCCAAAGCCTCAGAAAGTGGGGATACTTTGCGGCGATGTCGTCAGCATAAGACAACAACTCGCAACTTGCACCCTGCATGTTGTGAACGATAACTGCACACGCAAGACAGGCCCTCGGACCCAAACAGCCGAGTGCAAAGTCGGGGCTGTTTCACGCAGAGCAAACCGAAGCAACCTAAATCCACGAGTCCCAAAGCCACCGACGAAGGTGAAACAAAGCCACAGAAGGATACGTGCAAAGCATGCACGAGACATGCACAAGACTTCGCCCTAAACGCCCTTGAAGCCCTTCTCCGCCGGCGGTGTGGTGTGAGGCTACAGGGTGGTGAAAATCGATTACAGACAAACATTCCAGATGCAAACTGTAGTTAGGAAGGAAGTCCAAACGATTTTGGAAGGAGCTGTGCAGAGCTTTGCATAGCGTTCATTCCTTGGGGGTGTGAGAGGTTGAGAGGGTTTGGGGCAAAGTTGCCGCAGGCTCCAGGAATCTTGGCACCTGGGATGTAGGGTGCTTAGAGGTTCCTGGACAGCCAAGGAGATCTCCCCCGACTTCTTTTCCTTCTTCGAAGTCACGCAGCCGCTGCTGAAGGCGGATCCGGATGCTCGACAGCCCATCGTAGCACTTTCTCCGATTTAACGGCAGCGCTCGCAGCTTGTTCGACTGCATGGTGCCTGTCTTGCCATTGCGTACTTTCTTCGGGGGTGGGTGTGGTCTTTTGGGCGCGATCATTCGGTGCAGAACGAGGGTGCGCACAACTTTCTCGCCATGCGCACTGTCTTGCTCGCAAAACTCCATGCTTGTGCAGACTTTCGCTTCGTCGAACAAAGCAGGTCGCGCCACCATGGCCATCTACTGCAGCAAGTTAAACATAGCGCATTAGAAGTTCGGATGTCCACAGCCTAGTTGCCCAGTCGCGGCATTGTTCTTTTCGGAAGACTCAGGGAGCTGCCGTGGGAGCGGTCAGAAGCATGCGGTGCAAAAAGTAGGTGCAATGTTTTCGGGTACCATGCCACGCTGTTCAACCTAAACAAGAACAAACACCCAGCCATGAATCCGAAAGCTCCGTCTTCGGTCGGTTGACAAGCCGAAGCTTCCTGAGCTCACAACATGTTCACAGCTCGAGCGGCCTAGGACCTCTTTTGTGTCTCCGCGTGGAGTGACAACGGCAAGTCAGATGCCGCGAGGCAGAATGAGTCTTTTCTCATGTCTTCCCAATGAACCCAACCTGCTCTTGAGACCCAGGTGTCGCAGCACAAAGTAGTCAGCAGGTTGCACCATGCCGTACCGTGGCATGGGACACGACGTGTTGGGCTGCACAGATGTCGGATTTCGATCTAGTCATGGGGTCTGCTCTATGTGCCAACCAATGCCTGCCTCCCAGTCACTCCACGAGAAAGTGCGTTTCATGCCTCAGACAAGTATTCTCGGTCTTCTCGCTTGCTGGTGGGGCTGGAGCCAAACCCTCGTGAAGCCCACAGCTCAACTTCCAAGCCAAGGTTGCCAGCAACGCAACGGCCGTCTACCGCTCGGACTTCTTCCCAGGTCTCGGCTGGATGCTGCTCCGGAGCTATTGGGAAGAGGTCAAGGAGAGCAAGGGCTCTACGCTACACACCAGCACGGCAGCGACATGTTGCCTTGTGACATGAGCCGCCACATTTTAAAAGTCCGACTGGCTCCGGGGGCTCCCCCTAAGCCATTGCACTCTCCGTAAATCGCCGCAACTGGCAAGTGCTGACGCGAGCCGACTGCTTGGAGGCTTCTTTTCCTGGTCAGGGATTGCTTATGATTTTCTTGGCAGAGCTCAGAAGGTCCCACTTTTTGGAAGCAGGGCTTCTTAGGCCCGCATCTCGCCAAAGACGAGAAATCAGGTTCAGGGATTGTAACCTACTCCTGCGGCATGCCGCATCCCCCCCCCTACCCCCTGGCCGCGTCCGCCCCCCACCCCGAACTCACTTGCCTTGGTGAGGTTTCTAGCGACACTGCGTAAGACAGACAGTGTAGCCACAAGGCGTTCAAGTGGCCCAGATTTGACACAAGTGCAATGCAAGCAAGCTCAGATGCCATGCAAGAGGAGTGCCCTGAACCCTGAACCCTGAACCCTAAACCCTAATTTGGGATCCGCACAGCCAGCAGGACAGATGGCCTGTAAAGTACTGGGATGATTTCTTGCGGCGCAGGGATGTTCGCCGCTTGCCTCAACAGAACCGGGGCCTCGGGATCAGAAGCATGCGCAGCGCAGGCACTAGAAATCCTGCGGTCCCGAATCATTCTTGAGAGTGCCCGAGATTTTGAGTCTCTCGTTTTCATCCTCCGGCACACATTCGCAGGTCTTGTCTGTGGCTACTGTAGTGGTGGGTGCCCATCGGTCAATGAGCCCCCCCCACAGGACCAGAGAACTTAGAAACTGAGCCATTCCTGCTCAGTTTCCCTAATCTGAGGCAAAGGTCGGCATTGCCTGCGGCCAGAAGTCAGCCGCACCCACACTTTCGGTGAGATGCTTCGCCTGCAGTAGGAGTTTGGGGGAGGTTGTAAAAAGACAGGCGTGTGCCGACTTGGGGCTCAATTGTGCTCATGGAGGGTGCCTTCTCGGAACCCCTATGCCCCATGACTCCTCAGCCTCCCCGAGCCGGCCCTCACAAAGTGCTGTGGCGCAGTTGATGTAAGCGATCGTAGAAGGCTCCACTTTGGCCCTTCGGCTTGGTGTGCAGCAAGCCAAAACCATGCTCAGGAAGGGTGTCTCCTATGGGCAGTTCTACAAGGAGCATCTCGTCCGAAGCAAGACCCTAAAGTGTGCCTCTTGCTGGGGACGGGGGTAGGAGGGAGGGGGGAGGGAGGGGTGTTTGCAGGTCTTCAGAATGAATCACCGGATTCTGAACATCTCAGTGGCGGCTCAGTTCGCGGCTAGCAGGCTCAGGGCAGGCGACAACAGCAACTTACTTTGAAGGCGACAGGTCTTGCGAAGAAAATGCAGGTCGGTGCAATTGGCATTGGGGTCCGCTTGCCCATTCCCCCCCCCCAAAAAAAAAAACAAAAAACCAAGTTCTTTGGATCTGAAAGGCTTTTCAATACCCTTCTCAATCGGCTATCACCAATGAAACTTGGAGAGGCCGACGGAGAAGCTTAAGCCATTCCGAAAAAGCGAAGATGGTGCGAAGAGTGTGTTCGTCCTTGGGATGCCAGTGCTGACCGATCGTGGTATGAAAGCCCTCAAGGGATGAGCCGCATGAGTTACTCAGGGTGCCTTCCACCTCGCTCTTCTTTCGCTTGCACAGTGTATATAGTCGATAGCAAAGCCCAGGAAACATACACTACCCTCATCGAGGCCCTAGACTGGTTTTCAGAGCCGCTATTCGTGAGTATTGCCAGGGTTGAGAGATGAGCCTTTCCCGAATTGGCGCAGTCCCAAAACCCCAAACCTGAAGCCACCTCGAGGCACTTGGCTTCCAACGTGCTCAACGAGGCGTTTGTGGACTGGAAGTCCTTGAACCTTAGCCATGTGGCTACTGCTGCTGCCTTCGATGCATATCTCTCGCAGGAGGTGGGGTCGGGATGTTGGGAGTCGAGGTTGGGGGTCCTGCTCAAAAGCATGGTCGCAACGACGTTGCGTGAGGGTACTAGATGACTTGATGTCATCTAGTTCCGGTTGCTTGAGGAGGTACCTATGAGATGCTAATGATGTTGGACGGCCTGTCTGGACATGCCGCAGAAGCCGCTTGCATCTTCTGCATTCTCGGTCGTTTGCATGCTGTTTCCGAGGAAGAAAAGAACACTCCGTTTCGAACACCTGACGAAACCTATACCACAGTAGGTGAAGGTGGTTTGGGGCAGTACGTCCATGAAACCTCAAAGTCAAACAACGGCTGTATTCTCAGCACCACGCGACAACAACCTGTGAAACTGTATTTTTGTTTTCGCTCAAACATGTTATGTGGACCTCCCGCAAAAGATTTAGCAACAGCATCGGCGGAGCGACGTCAGGCGGCTAAAGAAACGAAAGAAGGCTCCATGGTTTCGGCAATACATGACAACAGACATTGCTTAAGCATGTTGTGTGGACCTGCCGCAAAAGATTTAGCATTGTTCCTTGCATAGGAAAGCGGCAACACAGGGCCCACCAAAACATCTGCAACCTCACTTGTCCCTACCTTGATTCTTCACGCGTAGGGTTCAGGGTTCAGGGTTCAGGGTTCAGGGTTCAGGGTTTAGGGTTTAGGGTTTAGGGTTTAGGGTTTAGACCGTGACGCAGCAACATGCAACAGGTCCGCAGTGCCAAGCTTGTGGCGTTCGAGGATGTCTCGCCAAGCTGCCTGGATAAAAAGGAGCTGTGGGCCCCAGCCATAAAAGCCCCAAAATCCTAAACCCTAAGCCCTAAACCCTAAACCCCAATCCCCTCAAAACTCTTCGAAATCGTCTAAGACTGCCTGTGCCGGCGCCAACACCCTCCCTGCCCCAACCCTCTGCAACTTCCCACCCTTCTAAGACCCATCCCCACGCGAGCGGGAATGTAACATCGTTTTCGGATGGGCTCCCAGCCCCTGCCTTTGCATACTGCAGTCGCTGGGACTGTTGAATGCAGTCTGGGCCTGGACTTTCGGGGGCTCCGGCTTGAAGCCTTGACGGATTCAAATGTGGCCGGACAGCATCCCTTCTGCACGAAATGAGCCCTAAATGTAGGGTTCATATTCATATACCTGAATAGGATTCATGGTAGTCCGGGTATATGACCCCAATTTTAGGGTTCTTTTGGTCCCCAAGGTCAGGGTTGGCGATGTGCGGAGCTTGTTGACGGGACACCGGGTTGACAACGTTCACTGCGTGACAGGTGTAACTTGCAGGGCACCGCCCCTTAAGTTCAGACTGGGCATTGTGCACCCTAAACCCTGAACCCTAAACCCTAAACCCTAAACCCTAAACCCTAAACCCTAAAACCAGTACTACTGGGGGGTGGTCCCGATGATGTGCTGGTTCACAGTGCAGTCGCGCTCAGTTGCTCACACTCACAGACAGCGCCGAGTAAGCGAAACCTATACGGCGTTATGCAGGTGAGCTGTTGCATCCTTGATGAGATGCACTTGGCAGAAAGAGCAGCCAAGGCTTTGTGCAGACTCTTCCGGAAACAGAGCTGCGTTGGAGCTTTTGGGTAGGGCCGTTTAGGGGTTGGTTCAGAGCAAAACTCAGTGTTCGCTTGTAGAAATTTGCAGTCGGCGTGGGCCAGGAGTTGGACAAGGAAGCGGTGCAGTAGTCAGTGGCAGCTGCTGTGTTTATGGAGTTGCGAGCAATGGATATTGACAGACCCCCCCTCCTCCCTGCCCCTCGCGTAGCGAGCCTCCATAGTCCCTGTTGTCACGTAAATTTGTTCGACGTTCAGCATCGTAAGATGGCATGATGAGTTATTGCTCAACATGGCTGACGACATGGCCTACAGCATTCCTGATTCCAAAGACATCCGTTTCTTGTGGCTTCAGGGAATTCACTTTTGCGATGTAGGGGGGTGCGCTGACAAGGTCCCACAGGCTTAGAAGAACACCCCCTGAAATCGACATGTCAGGAGCTCAGGTTCCAGGGTGGGGTCAGATGATCAGATATCTTGGCCTTGGTTAGTGTGAAATTCGGAGCTCACAACACCTTCAAAACACTCGGAGCGTCTCAGGCAATGCAAGCGCTTGCCGTGCTCTACGACGACAGGCAATGGAAGCGACTTGGCGCACCCATGTTTGCGCGTGTTGACTGGCCCAGATAAGATATACGAAGAGGACCTAGAACTCAGAATCCGGATTACGGGTCTTTTCGCAACCCGGCCAACCCCCAAACCTCCAGACCTTGCAGCCCGAAACCCCTGCAAAATCCTAAATCGTGCTCCTTTGCTCGCGTCCCTCAGGCGCTTTTGTTTCTAGGGATGCAGTATTGTGCTTTGTGCCACCCTCAGAAGTACGGTTGGTCAAGGTTTCAAGTCTTCGAGGTGCAGGGTGTATAGGGTTTCGGGTTTGGGGGTGTAGGGCTTTTGAGTTCGAGTGGTGTCTGCTGTCTTGCCTATTTGTGAAGCTCGTGCACTGAAGTGCCTCTGGCATGTTGAAGAAGACAAGCAACCTGCGCCGTGCAGCCGATGAAGTCCTTCGTATACAGAGCAGATGCAGGTCTGGGCCATCAAGCTCCTAAGTGACTCTGCAAAGAGACCCAGTCGATGCTGCTATGACAGGGCTCGCACCTGTGAAGCCTTAACGCTTACTTGAGAATTAAGCCTCAAGCCGGGCAAACCCCCCGGCCTTTTTTTCAGGCCCTTCCCTAGCACCCTATAGGCCCCCCTAGTTTCACCTCAAGTCAAGGCGCGTGGCCAAGCGCTTCGGCCTCATGGAGGATGAAAAGGCCGGCGGCTGTTCGCTCAACTTGAGATGAGTAGTTCTCTAAATTAGGGTCCCTTTTTGTGATCCCTTTTTACAGGGTGCCGCTTTATTGTGGGTACCCAAAAAAAGGACCTTATTTGAGGAGGTTACCCATATGTTGGTTTGGACATTCTCGCCGTCGCGTAGGATGATTCGGGGTTCTCGAGGCTTCGTTCTTGGAGGTGATGGAGGAGTGGCTTGCGCGCGCAGTTGTGGGTAGAGTGCAAAAGCTGGATGAGAAAGGGGTTTTGCTGGATTTCGGAAAACTGAGGCCCCAATTCTGCAGAAAGACGACCCCTTACCCTGAGTGCACCCTGGGTTTCTCAATTCATAGACCGACCTTCATAAATCCTTCTTCAGTGCCTCCTGAAGTCAATGTCTTGGACGCTTTGAGTCAGGGTCAAGGCCTCTTACGAAGCTCTGGAGCCTCAGCCCCAAGCTTTTGACCCTCCAGTTGAGCCCCCTTCAGAAGTGCGCTTCAATACGAGGCCTGGCCCTTAGCCTGAGACCTTCTTAGGGCCCAGCCTCCAAACTCCTAACTTCCGAAACATCCGTCTAGCCACCCCTGGACAGGAGGGCATCCGCCGGGGTACCTACCGAGGGGTGCTGCCCTTCACTTGGCTCCCTTTCTGAATTCAGGGGGTCTTCGCTTCAATTTGCAGAGTTGAGAGATGTTTTCTGTTTGCGTCTGGGCGAGGATCAGAATGGAGCTGTTTGAGGGCCCCGGAATCAGTGAAAGGCCATCACGTCAGAGTCCTGCACGAAGGTTTGCGATTTTCCTGCCTTTGTGGAGAGTTCAGGTTGTACATGGTTCGAGCTTCCCATGCCCTAGGAAATGTGCCAAACATGGTGGCAGACCATACGCCAGAAAAGGAGAAAAAAGGTGGGGGTGGCCGCAAAATAGGAGATGAGGGCAAGCCCTAATCCCCGAGCGATGCTTCGGTGTCTGCAGTGCGACTTGGCATATAATCAAAAGGGAGATGTTGGGTGGCAGGCCCTGAGCAAAACCCTAAACCCTAAACCCTAAACCCTAAACCCTAAACCCTAAACCCTAAACCCTAAACCCTAAACCTTAAACCCTAAACCCTAAACCCTAAACCCTAAACCCTAAAAAAGCTAGGCGGGTGGCAAA